GGGAATGAGTCTATCGATCGTTATCCAACTTTTGTGACATATGAATTTATACCATTTTACAATTACTGGCGATGAGCTGGACTTAACCGATCTGCGTTTAAAAATGGAAAACACATAGCAGCTATCCGAATCCGGTCAAGAATGGTCGTCAATGGATGAGATACTAACTTATATCATATGGATAGGGATGTTAATCCATAACCCTCTGTTCTGTCACCAGTTCGCGATTGGGGCTAGATTCGACTTAGGGTTACGATTAGGGGTTAGAGTCAATTATGTATGGTTGGAGATTACATCTAGGGTTGAGATTGAGTTTAGGGGTCAAAGTCGGGGATTTAAGACTAGAATAAGGGGTTTAAGGGTTAGCATTTTAGTGTTTTGATTTTAAAGAGAGAAGTAGGGTTTTCACGTTGGTGTTGAGGTGTAAGCATTCTGGTTAATGTTTGGATTCTAAGGTTAGGGTGTAAAAGTTAGGATCATGGCTTGAAGATTAGCTTTGAAGGTTAAGGTTAATTCATGCAGACACACAGAAGGGGCTCTATGCTCATAACTAGTTCCTGGATGACAATAACCATGGTCAGCTCACGAAAACACAACGGCTCTTATGCTGACTAATAACTTGTATTTACTGCTTTTGTGAATTGATTTATGCTTATTTTTCTACAATTTTTATACCACTTTAAGTTCTATTTCCGTTTTGTTTTTCATAAATGTATTTTAGATTACGTTGTGTTTTGTTGAGTTAAGAATTATTTCAGCTTGTCGGCTGCCTGCCAGTACGCTAATAAGCCAATTTCGTTTTTTTCATATTCTGCAAATTCGGCGCTCGAGTTTTCACTGAGCGTCAGTGTACGTACACAAGTTAATAACTTAAATGCAATTTTTCGGATTTATTTTTCGCGGAGTATGCTGTTACCCTCTTCCGTTGACTGTGCCTGTAAGACCCTAGTATTCCCACTCTCATATTACAGAGGTGTTTCCTTTTACTTCTGTGAGGCCACACACCCATTCAACATCGTTTATCTCAAGAAAACGCAGACTAGCCAATATAACTGTTTCACAACTAAAAAAATAAGTATTCGGTAAAACACGGAAATTCGAACGGAAAATTCAACCCCCTGGATACTGGGCAAGCAATTTTCGAGATGCCTATTTAATACGCCTGTACCACGTTCATACTCTCTGATTAAACTGAGGGCGATTTTTATTGGTATTCCACTTCTTCAAGACAGTAAAGGCTGCTTATGCAGACCGCACCAAAGTGCACCTATTCATTTACTTGTTCCCGCGCAGGTGGCATGGATCAGCCGACGAGGAACATCTGTAGGCAGGCACGTGAAACCCTGGTTTTGTAGTGATACAAACAGGTTTAACTCTAACGATCTCATAGCCAACCTAGTGGAATAGACGAAATAGACGTTAAAGAGGCTTCGTGCCCTATCTAGAAGGGCTGACCTGACTGCGCGAAGCTACTACCTGGGTGCATAGTGGAGGCGATCGCTATCTGTTGGGGTAATTTCGTCACCTACAGTCAAGGGGCTTGCGTAGAACCCCTTAAAGCTATGTTGGCCTTTAAATAATGTGGCCTGCCAATTGACACCTTTGATGCAGGAACTCCATTTAAAGCGGAATAAATTACTGTCAATAAAAGATCGCCTTCGGCAGATCATCAGCATTCTAATAATGAGATTTTTCTGAAAGCTGTCTGAATACATATTGTTACATTCCCAGTTGAAAAAATCGAGTGAAATATGCTCTGTCAGTAATCTAGTTGCTGCTGTCGCTGCAGTCTAGGACGTATCATAATTTCTGCAACACAAAAACACTACTGCTAAGGTAATAGTACGAGATCATTGACCCTGACGTTTCAATTTACAATTAAACGCTAAACAGCGAGTCGAGTGAACAAGTTTGAGTTAACTAAGCTGTTTGCTCAACAGACACTGCGTCATTTACGTAAAATATTTAGTCTACTTTTTAATCACAAAAGGGTTATTTAGTTGTTGCATCTGTAAGAACAAACTCGGAGCACTGTCTATTCCGAGAACAAAAGTGATCGAAAAGGTGTTGTTTAATGAACATGGTCGGCAAAGACAATGGGGAGTGGAATGAACATTTCTGCTTCACTAGTCGTCATCAGCCAATCAAACCCAACCCCAGGTGGTACACCACCCGAAGCTCGAACCCGCGACCTTTAGATCAGAAGTTCAACGCTCTAACCATTGAGCCACGGGCTCGTTATCTTCCCGGCTAAGAGCAGGAATATTGACATTCGTTTATGAACGCTCACCCATCGCGAACTGGTTGATGACGGCTAATGAACCAGAAATTGTCATTCTAGTCTCTCTCGTCTTTGCCGGCGATCTTCATCTGCCTACACTGGTGCCAGCTCCAATGCAGCTGATGGCGGGACTCGAGAGTGAGCCAAAAGACAGAAGGGGACGAGTAAGTTTTCTTATCGATCGTTGAGCGTTCGGCAACGAAAGAACGGATGTTCTTAGCGAGTAGGCAAACTCTAAAATCACCACTAAGACAACGAAGAAGGCCCAAAAAACGGTCAAAACCCGAAAATTGTTAAGAAGAAAC